AGACCCCAATCCCAGCTTCCCTGCTGCGAAGAGACACAGCCCACAGTGGCACTTAGCAGGGAACGTGCATCAACCCCATAGTGACTGGGGGCGAAGGAGCAAAGCAGGGGAGGGAAATGCAATGAGAAGCCACCAGGCAGGTAACGGTGGTGGCTGCTGAAGATCTCTGTCGTCTCACCAGGCTGATGGTGTCAGCGAACAGGACTGAGCTGCCATGATGAGTGTGGGACTCCCCAAACACACAGATCCAGGCTCTAGCTAGAATTAAGGCCCGGGAGGCGAACCATCAGCACGGTCCGGCAAATCGCTCTTTAAACACCACCTTCCAGAAGCTGCAATTAAAGGGACACTTACGAACACGGGGCTAGAAGAAACTATCCACACTTAGCTGAGCTGTGCAGAGAGGCAGTGGAGACAGCTCAACGTCTGCATGTTCCCTGAGTGACAGTGGGGCTAGAAATTCAACCTGCCTTTTTCCCTGTGAGTTGAGCAGAGTGGCGCTTTCCTGCCAGGCCTCTTCTGAAATGTCCCCCTCACAGGACCTGACCAGCCTGCTAAATCCAGCCAGAGCAAAGGCAGATACAGGTTGGTTGAATGCAAGGGTGTATATACCATGCAGTACTGTATTCAGAGAGGGTCACAGGTACAGAACAAAGCAAACCCCTCTGATGTAACCCTCCTGAATCCCTATGCAGGATGGAATTGCATTTCCAGGTAATGTTTGGGGCGGTTAGAATCAAGGAGCGGCTCCAGGTGAGCACCACTCTATTTTCTACCTACACCGAACTGACCTAGATGGAGAAGCTGAGTTCCAACCCTGGCCGTACCAAGCCCTTGAAATCTCTCTTCTTTGTGTGTTGTTTGGGTCTGGCTTGATGAAGCTAATGCCAGATAAAACAAATCAGTGTGGAGCGACAGAGCCCAAATGGAGGGAATTCTGCTGCTCGAGCAGCAAGCGAAGGCTGATTAACATTAGATTTTGCCAGGTTTCAGAGTAGCAGCCATGTTGGTCTGTATCCGCAAAAAGAACAGGAGGACTTGTGGCACCTTAGAGACTAACAAATTTATTTGAGCATGAGCTTTCGTGAGCTACAGCTCACTTCATCGGATGCACACTTTAGGGGAAGAGGCTTCATACACCAAAGCCAAAATCCTCCAACTTTTCTATCTCCCCTTCAAGTTTTTTGTTTCCTTAAATGGGGTACAACAGTAAATGCTCCCTCCAGTGACTAAAAATTCCCCCTTTCATGTTGCTGTGAGGAAGCATGGGTCTCAAACCCAGGCCCTCAGACAGGGCTCAGACTCACTGGGTCCGGCAGGAAGTGTGGGCTGGTGGACCCTAGCTCACTAGAGGTGCCACCCTTGAAGCTCCTGATTAGAGGAGATATCCAGTCTCTCCGATGGGCTCAAATCTGCTATTTAAGCCAGAAGGAGGTACTGGAAGTTGGCCCAGTAACTAGGTGAATTGCTGGCTGCTACATCAGACCCTGCCCTCTCGCCTGAGCCCTGCCTTCGGGCCGTGTCCCTGATTCTCTGCCCTCCTGCCTTGTTCCAACTCCCTGCTCCTATGCCCCACCCTTGGCTTGACTCCTGGCTCTGTCTTCCCCCTCCGACACCTGACTCCGGTTCCTGGCTCTGACCTGTATGTCTGCTTGCCTACATTCTGGTCCATGACAATTACTTGGCCTGTTAACTGGGCTGCTCAACTAGTGGAAAAAGCATCTATCCTGCATTTCAAATGTAGCTAGCTCAAATTCAGGGGTGCAGTCAGCCCTGAGTTCCTCTCTGCATGCCCGGGTTTGTTGTATTCTCGGTGTCATTACTCTGTCACCTCAAGAGACTTCAGGATTTACAGAAAGAAGTGAAACCGGTGGCTGATCCCAGACATTTCCCATGTACGTAAAAGTGCTGTTGCTGTGGGCTCTGGAAGAGCAGCAAGGCCCGGTGGGTTGGAACGGATGCTTTGTTCAAAGTCATTTCAAGGTCGCCACCGTTGCATTCCAGGGATCAGCAGGATCTCTCTCCACGTCTCTTCCAGTGAGTCCCGTGGCAAGTGCTGCTCAGTTGGTTGACCAGAGGGATGATTTTTTCTAGTTGGTGCTGCAGGCTCCGCCTGAGATCTGAGAATCCAGCCCCCTCGGAGGCCCTTTGTGCTGGCGGTTCGGGGGCTACGGTCAGTCCTAGCTGAGCGCTGTCTCCATGCGTCAGGCACGCTAGATAGCGGCTCGCTGGGTGGGCCCTTCCAGCTGTGCAGGCGAAGAGCGGTCAAAAGGGATCAGTGTCAGCGGGTGAGACGGCAAGGTTTATCTGCGCCACGGGGTTAACTCCAGTGATCAGCAGCTGGGTTCGCCCGGGCCGGGTGTGAGCAGCCCTTTGCCTGCCTCCTCGCTGCTGCGCTGCCCCGGGGGGTGCTAGCGGTTCCCAGGGCGTATGTGCCGCAGCAAGCTGAGCTGCTCTGGTTCTTTCCCAGTGCATTGTGGGAAAGCTTCCCTCTCCTGGAGGGGGGGGACGGACCTGCGGGCAGGCGCTGGAGGACTAGCAGCGTTTAAGAGGGTTAGCCTGTGTCCTCATTGCATACTGATCTGGTTACCAGCCTGAGCGAATGCTGCACCCAGACTTTAGCCCACACCCTCAGCTGGGCCAGCTAGCCTCGGCTGAAAACCCCGCTACTCTGGGGTAAGTGAGGAGGGGACTGGGCAAGAGCTTGGGCTGACTGCAGTGAAGACAGACCCAGAGCGAGTGTACCTGGGCCATCAGAGAGGTGGTTTTATGTAGCCCATCACAGCTGCACTTCAATAGCGATGCTCTTACCAGGTGGACGCGGACAGACAGCCACTAAACCGTGTCTCTGCCCATGGCTTTCTGTCCAGCAGCATAGCAATGACCAAAACGACGCCCTTAAGCAGGTTGGGGTGATCGTGTTCTGAGAGGTGCCCGTTCTGACCACTTGGTGGCGCTCCATCCCCAGCATTGGCAGGAGGGAGGGCCTGAAGCAAGTGACTGGGGAGACTGGGCTGGTGTGAAAGCCTGAGTGGCTGTCAAGATGCTGGCCGCACTTGGCAGGTTAAACAGTGTGTGGCACGTTGAAAGAGACTGTGACAGCAGCGAAAGCGGGGGACGGAGGCTGCGGCTCTTCAGGAGGTGCCCCGCAGACGCCGTTTCTTGGTCTATTTTTCTGTCTGTGTGTGACACAGAGAGCAGACAGACGCCCCAAGGTGCTGGGCCCCAGCAAACTCCATCAAAACCCAGTGGAGCTGCTGGGGCTCAGCACCTGCCTCCCGGGCGTTATCAGGTGACCATTAGTCATCGCCTCTGCTCCTGGTTTGGGGGAAATCAAGTCACTCCCATGCTCTGTGCCTCAATTTCCCTATCCATGAAATGGGGATAAGGTTATCGCCCTGTTTTGCCGGGCACGTTGAGATCTGTGGATAAAGAGCGGGTAGACCTGGCATGGACATAGAGGAGACCCCATTTCTTGGGAGGCAGGACAAGGGAGGTAAATAGATCAGCAGGCTGAAAACAGAATGTCCTCATGACAAGAGCAAATGGGTCAGGGAGTTAAGAGAGACAGCGTCTGTGCGACCTACGATGATGGGAGGGAATGCCCGGGACAGGCTAGCGATGGACGAGAGGAGTGGGGAACGTAAGATGAGGTAAGGAGGAAGCTGTGTGCGGTCAGAGCACGAGACCAAGCCAGTACTGCAAGGTGTGATGCAATGTATAGGCAATGCAATGAGATGTGCAAATGTATATAACGGAAGAGGTTTGCTGTGTGCTGTGTGGACCCGCCCCCACACTTGAGTCTGATCAACTCTGTGCAGCTTTGCTGTGTGGCAAATAAAGGCACCTGAGTGGCCCAGAACGGACCCTGTCTTAACCTTTATTTTTCTCTGCTAACCTGCTGTGTTCCAGGTGACTAATAAACTCCGTTCTGAAAAGGCTGCCATGTGTCACTGCAAACACAGGCTGGGGGGCTTGAGCCCCCAAAGAGAAGCCAGGTCTCTCCAGGGGTCTGGCTCAGTGGGACGCGCTGGGCAGAGCTCACAGGGTGGAGAAGGAGGGCTGGAGCCCAGAGGCTCCATCTTGGAGGCAGTGAGGCTGCGTGGCTGGCGCAGGCGGGAGAGTGGGACCCTTGCGGGGCTGGCGTGCTGAAGAGCTCCTCCAAGGGACTGTTTAAAAGCTGGGGGCTAGCACCGATCCCGGAGATCTGCTACAGCAGGTGCGGCCTGCAGATAGTGCAGGCTCCAAAGGATCGATTGCACTAGGCCTGAACTGCGCTGCAGGCTGTAACCTGCGTGGGACAGACCTCTGTCCTCGGGATGCCATGCTGAGCTGCGTTGGGTCACAGGCTACCCGGGAGGCCCCTCCATCTCCAGTGCCCTGCTCCCCCAGCGCCTTAAGATGGGCGCTGCTTCCGTTTTCTTTGTAAATGACCTGCCCAGCCACCCTTTCCCTTCAGAGATTCCCAGGCCAGCAGGGACCCCTGTGAGCATCTTGGCTGACCTCCCGTCTAACCTAGGCCAGAGACCTGCCCCAGAACAATTCCTAGAGTAGAACTTGTAGAAGACCATCCAATCTTGAATTAAACATCCACCACAGCCCTTGGTAAATTGTTCCAATGGTTAATTACCCTCGGTTCTTCTGGACCCTGCTAGGTTCTCTCATAACCCTTTGAGATTTTGCTGTCTATCTGGGCACCCCTTTCTTACATTCATAGTGCTCCAGGTTAGGATTCAGCTCGCAACCTTGGCAACCCAGCTCAAGCCAAGTACTACTGCGGTAGTGCCGTGTGCTAGCCAATTGCGCTGCCAGAGCAAAACCAGCGACCTGACTGGTGGGCCTGGGCCTGGCGATCTGTGAATCCCCCCCAAGTCCCACGTGCTAGCCGCTGCACCACGCAGCCAGCAGACGGGCCGGGGTTCTGTGCTGGGGATTTGAAGTGCAGGATTGGGTGAACTGTGCCCAGGTATTTTTTTGACCAACCCCGTCTCTCCCTCCAGTGTCTGCCAGTTCCTAAGCCGGTGCCAGAGCCCCAGTGGTGGGTTCGGAGGAGGGCCGGGCCAGCACCCCCATCTCGCTCCCACGTATGCCGCTGTCAGTGCCCTCTGCATCATCGGTACCGAAGAGGCCTTCAACGTCGTCAACAGGTGAAAATGGCCCTGGTGCAGGATTCCCGCCCCGCTATGGGAGGCGGGAGGGAGGTGACCCAAATCACAGCCCTTCTTCCCAGTGGGCTGGAGCCCTGCCTGCTCTCATGGCTTGGTACAGCTCTCGCAGGTGTCAGCAGAGCAGACATCTGTCGCTTCCAGTGTACGGCCCGTGGGTGTACACAGGAGAAACGCCAGCTGAGGACTTTGCCACAAGGGCTTTGAGATCTCTGCTACACAAGGTGCTCACGTGCTGGGCTCCCATGGGCGTTATTGGGGGTTGTCGGCTGTCCAGCACCTCAGAGGATTTGGGCCCTGGGTGTCCAGGAGGTAAGGAGCGGCCTCGTATAAAGCCATCCACCCCCAAACACCCAGGCCAGGCCCAGATCTCTACCCAACCCTCGCTGAAAGCAGGCCCCTCCCGCTGCCCCTGTTGGTTGGTTCCCCTGCGTGGGTGGGGATGTGGCAGTTTGATTGGCTGGGTGGTGTGACTTACTTTAAAAGAGAAATTGTGAACCATCGTGGTGCCTGTGAAAGTGAGACGCTAACGGGGCTGGCTGGAGCTGACCCTGCAATGGCAACGTCCACCTGCTAGTGGGCCCCGGCCTGGCCAGCTCCTGTGTTGGGTGGCGTGAACCCCTAACAATGCCCTTGCTGCTTTTCAGGGAGAAGCTTTTGGAGTATCTATACTCGCTGAAACAGCCCGACGGCTCCTTCATCATGCACGTGGGAGGTGAAGTGGACGTCAGGTGGGTGGGATCAGTCACAGCACCGGTCAGAAATTCCAAGGCCAGGAGAGACTGACCTCCTGCATCGCCCACCCCACAGATTTCCCCCCCAGCCCGATAGCTTGTGGCTGAGCTGGAGCGGAGCTGTTGGGAAATCGTCCCATCCTGGTTTAAAGACTCCAGGTGATGGAGGTGTGGAATAGCTGGTGTCATCTGCCTGGCAGTGTCCCAAGTTGAAATCCTTGTCTGCCAGGCAGCCCTGCAGCTACGGACAGTATGGGGACGTAGGGAAAGGCAGTGCATGGTTATATCAGTCTTGGGACTTGTCTGTGGGTGGCAACTTCCTGCTGGGACCATGCCCGGGTAGTGCTAATGGTGCACCTCCCATAGAAGCTGAGCCGGAAAAAGGCCCTCTTCTCCTGGAGTCGGCCATGCTGGGTGTAACCAGAGCAGTAGAAATAGATGGTCAATTTCCCCATGTAGGCAAGCCCTTCATTTCACCAACAAGCAAACCACAGCTGAGGAGATGATCCAGGGTTTCTGTCTGGGAGGTGTCCAGTGTGGGACGTCTTCTGAATTTTGCTGTAGGCCTTTAGCGTCACTTACCTGGAGCAGCACCTGAGGCCCTTGCTGAGGAGCTGTCTCCTGGCTTGCTCTCACTCTGCAGATCAGGGGTCTGTCTGGGAGGCAGCGTCGCCTAGTGGACAGAGCACTGGACCGGGACTCAGGAGAACTGGATTCTATTCCCAGCCCTGCCACTGGCCTGCTGGGCCACCTTGGGCAAGTCACTTCCCGGCCTTGTGCCTCAGTTTCCCCATCTGCAGGATACTGACCTGCCTGGTAAAGTGCTTTGAGATGTACAGCTGGAAAGTGCTAGGTAAAAGCTAGGGGTTATTCTGATAACCTTGCAAGGTGCTGCTGCGGTGGCACACTGAGTGAATCTCTCCTGGGGATAAAGGGACTTGCACCATAGCGGATCTTGTATTTATGCCACTAGAAGCCAAACGCAGTGGAGCAGGGAGCGCCGGGGGAGCGCTGGGCGCTCGTGGAGTTGGCAGTGCAGTAGCTGCCAGCCCTGGGGCTGTCCGTGGCAAACCCTGGGGGCTGACTCTCCGGTTCGTCTTTCCATCGCAGGAGCACATACTGCGCCGCCTCAGTGGCTTCGCTGACCAACATCATCACGCCCACGCTTTTTGCAGGGACTGCCGCGTGGATCGCAAGGTGAGGAGAGCCCGGAGGGCTGCCGCTCTGTGCGGTGCTGCAGATTCTGCCCCGGGGAGAAACGAGGCTCCGCTCTGTTAGAGCAGGCCCGTGCGAGATCCCATGGGCTCAGCAGGCTGCACACGGGGCTGCTCCCCATGCTAGGGGCTTGCATTGCAGGAGGACGGTGCCATGGTGCCCAGGGTGAGCTGAGGGAAGAGAAGCATCAGTGGCTGTTTCCATGTTCTCCCTGCCCGCCCCTCTCTGAATTAGGTGCCAGAACTGGGAGGGTGGCATTGGCGGAGTCCCGGGCATGGAGGCCCACGGAGGATACACTTTCTGTGGCCTGGCAGCGCTGGTCATTCTGAAGCAGGAGGACTCACTGAATCTGAAATGTTTGTTAGTAAGTGGACTCTGCCGGGGGCGCGCTCTCCTTGCCCTTGGGGAGGCTGGAACCACGCAGCCAAGGAGGGCCCTGTTTGCTGACACCACCCTATGGCGCCCCCTGCTTCATTCCAGCCAGTGTGGCTGGGGGGCACCATGCTCATCGCTGGGCTAGAGACCCTATGCTGATGCTGCAGAGCGGCATTGGGGTGGTCAGTACCAGTCTTGCAGGCAGTGTTCCCGCTCTTTGCACAGATTCCAACACCCAGGCACCAGCGCGGTGTGCCGGACGGCTGGCATGCCAACCTGTCGGGCCAATGCGCTGCCAGGGGCTAGCCCTTCAGAAGTTGCTTTGCTCAGGCTGAGGGCTCCTCTCTATAGCGCTGAAATAAAGCGGTTTCCTGTGCCCATGGGGGCTAGCGGGGAGCTGGCAAGATGCTAACCGTTGCTCCTGTTGGTGAAGAGGGAGGAGATGAAATCCAGGGTCAGAGGGTGGGAAATGGAGCCAGGTGCTGGTGCCACCAAGCCAGTCGTCCCGTGGCAGCTGAGACTGTCCAAGCCCTGACACGTGTCCCCGTCTGTCCCTTCCAGCACTGGGTCACGAGCCGACAGATGCGCTTTGAGGGCGGTTTCCAGGGCCGCTGTAACAAGCTGGTGGATGGCTGCTACTCGTTCTGGCAGGCGGGCTTGCTGCCCCTTCTCCACCGAGCACTGCATGCCAAGGGTGAGTTTGGGGCCTGTGTGTTACTTACAGCAATGAAGCCAGGCACAGATGACCATGCCAGTTAGGCTACCGTGTCGTCTGCATCAGTGGCCAGGTGGCCTCCGTAGCAGAGGGATCGTATATTAGGCTGCCTGGAAATTTTGTCAATTGGGTGTTTGATTAAACTGGAATATTTTGATTTGGACATGGGACTTGTAGTCCAGGTGGACTCATGCTTCTGTTCTGCTCTATCAGCTGGGCTTCCTGATTGGACTACATCTCCCATGATGCACTGCGTCCCCTCTCCAAGGGGGAGACCATGGGGCATCCTGGGAGATGTATCGGGTGTCTGGCCGATAGAGGAGAATGGGGCACCCAAACTACAGCTCCTGTGAGGCGCTGTAGCTGCATTTCAGAATTATTCAGGTTTGGGATGAACAAAGCATCTCAAACAGGTGATTAAAAGGAAGCAGAAGGGATGGATCAGTAAGGAAAGCTGCCTCTGGGTGGTCAGACAGTGTAGGGATAAAGTGAGAACTGCCAAAAGCCAAGCAGAGCTGGACCTTGCCAGGTAAATTAAAACCGATAGTAAAAGGTTCTCCAGCCATGTAAAGAAAACAAGGAAAGAAGATGTGGGACTGCTAAACACTGAGGATGGGCTGGAGATTAAAGATAATCTAGGCATGGCCTGATACTTAAATGAATACTTTGTCACAGGTTTTAATAAGGGTAATGAAGAGCTATGGGGTAGTGGCAGGGTTGCTAGTGGAAATGAGGATATGGAAGTAGAAATTACCACATCCAAAGTGGAAGTCAAACTGAAACCGTTTAATGTGACTAAATCAGGGGGTCTGGATAATTGCCATCTAAGAATATTAAAAGAACTGGCCTATGAACTTGCAAGCCAAATAGCAAGGATTTTTAATGGATCTGTACGCTTGGGGGTCATATCCTGTGACTGGAGAATTGCTAATATAGTACCTAGATTTAAGAACAGAAAAAAATGTGATCTGGGAAACTACAGGCCTGTTAGTTTAACCTCCGTTGTGTGCAAGGTCTTAAACACAAATTTTGAAGGAGAAAGTAGTTAAGGACATAGAGGTGAACGGTAATTGGGATAAAATACGACATGGTTTTACAAAGGGCAGATCATACCAGACCAATGTGACCTTTCTTTGAGAAGAGAACTGGTTTTTAGACAAAGGAAATGCCATGGGTCTAATCTACCTGGTTTCAGTCAGGCACTTGATACAGTCCTGCATGGACAATTATTATTTAATTTGGAGAAGCTGGGGATTAATACAAGAACTGAAAGGTGAGTAAGGAGCTGGTTAAAGGGGAGATTACAGTGGGTCACACTGAAAGGTGAACTGTCAGGCTGGAGGGAGGTTACCAGTACAGTTCCTCAGGGGTCAGTCTTGGGCCCAGTCTCATATAATGTTTTCATGAATGACCTTGGCATAAAACATGGGAGTGTGCTAATCAAACATGCCGATGACTGGCAATACGAAGGAAGTGCTGGTTGTTCCTGGCGTCGGCCTGGGCTACGTTCTCTTATTTACAAATATTTCTGCGCAGCTGTGGCGTGCTGGTCGGGGCTGGGGAGCAGGGATCCTGGGCCACAGCCTTGCCTCCGCCACTGTCTTCCTGGGTGACACTGGGCGAGATCTTTAACATCTCTGTGCCCCATCCCCCCGCCCCCTCGGCAGGATCATTGGGGTGTTGTCAGAGAGGGGCAGCAGGCTCAGCAAGGCCTGCAAGCATGGCAGCGGTGCGAGGGGAGAGTGAGGCGGGTTCTGGGTTATGCCGCCTGGCAGGGCCAGGAGGGAGGCTTAGTGTTGACGCGGAAAGGAGTGCAAGGTCACTCCGGGTGGGCATGTAGGGGGAACGGTTCAGAAGCTCCTATGGGAGTTAGGTGCCCAGCTCCCCGTGACTCTTTGCTCCTCATTGCCTGCCAGCAGGAGGGGCGTGATTTGGAGCAGCCATTATTCTTGAAGCCCCCCAAACCATTCCCCTGGCAGTGGTGCCTCCCGTGGTCCCCACAGCCAGGCCTCCTCCTGGCTCCCTGTGCTTGGAGGGCCTCCCCCTGGGCACCCGGGACTCTGTTAGCTGTGACCTCATAGTGCAGGGGGATCTGGGGGCAGGGCCAGCTTCATGAGATCCCTGTGTAAGACCCTGCTAGCCCACAAAGCAAACGTATTTTCCTGTGTGGGAGAGGCCACTGACGGTCACTCTGGCCAGCCCTGGCACGGGTACAATGGTTCCCCCACTCTGGGATTGGGACAGTCTCACTCTCCTTGTCCCGTGGCCACACCCCGTCCTGTCCGGCATGGGTGGGGGGTGCTACGCTGGCTCTCAAAGGTGGGGGAGTTGGACAGTGTCTGCAGGCCAGGGGCGGTGCCGTGGCCTTGGCCGGCGCTAGAAATGGGGGACTGTCCCTCAGCTTTCCCTAAATGCCCCCCGCGGCCTGTGCTCCCTCCCCAGGCGACCCTGCCCTCAGCATGACGCACTGGATGTTCGACCAGCAGGCGCTGCAAGAGTACATCCTCCTATGCTGCCAGTGCCCTGCTGGGGGGCTGCTGGACAAGCCAGGCAAGTGAGTACCCGTGAGGAGGTCCCGGCACCTGCTGAGCGCGTCGGCTGCCTGGAGCTCCATGGCCGGTGCATCCCCAAGAGCCAGCGTGGCCCAGGACAGCACTGAAGGGGTTAAGAGAAGGCTGCAGCATCGAGCAGCTCATTGGGGCTTGCAGGGGTGGTGCTGGGGGCTGCTTTGGGCCATGTGGGGGGGCGTCTGACCAAACATGTCCCTGCTTGACTGCAGGTCACGGGATTTTTACCACACCTGCTACTGCCTGAGCGGGCTGTCGATAGCCCAGCACTTCGGCAGCGGAGACCTGCTCCACGAGGTGGTGCTGGGAGTCCCTGAGAATCGCCTGGTAAGGGGATCCGCTCAGCCTGCCTCCCGCCCTGCAAATGGCCCTCGTGCTGCGAGTGCTGTCCCTGAGGGAGCGCCTGGGCCACCGGCCTGAGATGGCCCCTGAAGCGTTGGGTGTCTGGGGTTGGCCTGGCGTTCCCCAGCATCACACCTCGCAAGGCACACTCTGCGTTCATGGCCCACATGGGGAGACGGGGGCGCGGATTCCAGCCCTTGCGTTGGGGTCTGGCACCTCAGCACCAGGCATCTGAGCGCAGGAGGATGGGATGCCTGACTCCTTAGGAGGGGCCTGCTGATGGAGGCTGGGTCAGCGGGAGCCACCAGCACTCACGGCCCCCAGCCCTGACTCTGGCTCGCAGCCAAGCTGATTTCTGTGGGCCGCAGGGGCAGCCTTCCTCCTCCTCCTCTTCTTAAAGGGCCGCAGCTGGTACAAAATTGTTTCATAGATTCCACGAAGGACCCGTTGTGATAGTCTCATCTGATCTCCAGGATAACGCAGGCCGGAGACCTGCCCCAGAATAATGCCGAGGACGTGGGATGCAAAACAGCATCCCCGGTGCTTCTGCCCCACGCTTCCTCCCCCGCCCGGGTGCCCTTTGTGCCCAGGCCACGTGAGCCGCTTGCCTGGCCCGGCCCCATTGTTAACTCGGGTGTGTTTCCCCTCGCAGCAACCGACACACCCCGTGTACAACATCTCCCCCGACAGAGTGGTGCAGGCCGTCATGCACTTCCTGCGGCAGCCCATCCCTGGCATGCCGGCGGCAGAGGAGATGACAGCACCCGCCGGAGACTAGACGGGGCAGCTCCCTTCGCAGACGCTGTACAGACGTGCTCTGCCCGCAGTCAGAGCGCAGCGCGGAACCAACCCCCCGGGGCGAACCTTGGGGTTTGAGAGCGGGGCGGACAGGGCGCTCCCCCCTCCGGCCGGTGCGAGCTCAAGGCAGTAGCCAGACCAAAAATAGCCACGCCAGGCCCCCCGCTGTAGGCACATGAGGGCCCCGGGCCCCACTAACCTTCCTGCCAGGAGCAATGCTGTTCTGAAATAACGGGCTGTGAACGTTTTAGCATCAATAAACCAGAACTGAGCCCCTGGGGGTTTCCTTAGCACCACACTAAATCAGCCTGAGCTGCTGCCCTCCAGCTTGGCCCATGCAGGCCCAGCCCTGCCCCATGGCACTATCTGGGAGCGGGCATGGGGCCTGTTCACAATGAACACCGGGGGAAGAGAGGGAGGCTGGTGCCACAGGGCCTGCTTGCATGATACCGGCTGAACCTTGATTTGGCACTGGGACGAGGGGCAGATCAGAGGTGGTCGCTCCAGTGGTCTGCAATTCTCTGGGCAGCTGAATCCCTGCTGCTGGGTACCCTGCATGGAACAGGAAACCCAGCGGGAGGCTAGTAAGGGGACAGGACTGAAATGGGCAGCAGCCCCTTTCCCCTGCAGATGAGCCTCCCTCCCCAGGTCTTGCGGGGTGATTCTGCCAACACGGTTATTAAACCTTTTCTTGCTGCCTTGTCGTCTCTGGGGAAGGGTGCACCAAGCCAACCCATGGCTCAGCCGGCCTGTCCACGGCATCCTGGCTCTGTGGCGAGAGGGGCCAAATCCTGGCACTGCTGCAGGCTAGGGGTGGACCAGCATGATGGGGCAACACCTAAGATGGGGCATCCCTGGGGCTCAGGGACAGAGCAGCTTGGTGGCACCAGGATTGAGGCAGCTTGGCACCCAGCTGTGGGCAGAAGGATAGGTGTTGAGGGCCTAGCATTGGCTGTAGGGTGAAGGGGAAGTGGTAGGGGTGGGGGGTCTCATGCCCAAGGGGGCACTGGGCACTCAAGTCTGTGTGGCTTTAGCTCTCGGGCCCAGTAGCTCAGGTCTTCAGCGCAAGATGGAGCCCTGCAGCCACAGGGGCCATGCCGCCATGCTTCCCATGAGCACAGCAGCGGGACAGGGCAGTGCAGTGCAGTGGTGCTGAACAGGGGCTCTGATGAGCTCCTGGGGCAAGGGCCAGGGTTCCTTGTTTAGAAGAGCAGCACTTCAGCCATAGCAGAGGCCGACTGCCTCTGCATGAAGCAGCAGATGGCTTCCAGGAAGCAAGGGGGGGGGTAGGTTAGTGCCCCTAGCCAAGGAGAAGGGCTAGGTTCTGCCCCTGGGCCCAGTGCCACAGTGGTATTGCAGCATCTAACACCCATAGACAGCCCAGGGGTGGCAGGTTTGTAGAAATTTTGGTGGTGCCCAGAATCCACCCCCACCAAACTCCACCCCCCCACGGCTCTGGGAGGGAGTTTGGGTGGGGGAGGAGGTCTGGGGTGCAGGCCCTAGGCAGGGGATTGGGGTGTAGGCTTTGGGAGGGAGTTTGGGGATGGGAGGGGGTGCAGGGCTGAGGGCTGTGGGAGGGGCTCAGGGCAAGAGTAGGGGTGTAGGGGCTAAGGGCTTTGTCTGGGGCTGGGAATGAGGGGTTTGGGGTGTGGGAAGGGCTTAGGGTGAGAGCTGGGGCTGGGGCAGAGGGTTGGGGTGTGGGGGGGATGAGGGCGCTGGCTGGGACTGGAGATAAGGCATTTGGGGTGTGGTAGGGGCTCAGGGCCATGGTAGAGGGTTGGAGTTCAGGGGGATGAAGGCTCTGGCTGGGGCTGGAGATGAAGGGTTTGTGGTGTTGGGGAGGCTCAGGGCTCTGGCTGGGACTGGGAATAAGGTATTTGGGGTGCTGGAGGGGCTCAGGGCTAAGGTAGAGAGTTGAGGGTGCAGTGGTGGGCTGAAAGCTCTGGCTGGGGGTGTGGGCTCTGCGGTGGGGCAAGGCTGGGGGTGAGTTTGGGGTGCAGGCAGGCTGCTCTGGGACCAGGGCCAGAGAGGAGGACTCCCCCAGCCCTTTCCCTGCCAGCAGCAGTGAGCTCTGGGGGAGGAGCCCCACTTTTCCAGCACCCCCCAGCAGCACACTCACCCCCACCACTGTCACTGCATGTGCTCCTAGGGCCCCTCTCAGGTCCAGGAATCTCCCTCCCCTCCCCCGTGGTGGGTGCCGAGGGGTGCTGCGTGCCCCTCCTCCACTGCTGTTGCCCTGACTGTAGTCTCGCTGTGGGTGAGGGATGGGGCTGCCTCCTTGCCCAGCATGGGGCAGGAGCGGTGACTGTGGGCAGAGGGGCCCCTTGTGCTGGTGGAGGGTCCCGCCGGGAAAGGGAAGGGCCTGAGGTGGAAGGGCAGGCTCAGTCTGCCTGGCAGTCGAGGTGGGTGGTACGAAGACCCTGCGGCAGCCAGGAGGCAGCATGGAAGAGGCAGAGGCAGGGGGGCAGGAAGAGGGGGCACCCCCAGCCCCAGGACTCTGAATATTGCTGGTGCTAAGGCCCCACATGGAGCTATAAGTCGCTGCCCCTGCCCCAGGGGAGGCCCCCTCCGCCCATGCCTTGCTGCAGCATGGCGGCTTCGGTGAATAACCCCCCCACAGCAGCTACCTGCTGGACTGTTAGCAGAGGCCCCATTCCACCGGTGCTGCCTTGACTGCGCTCCGGGCAGGGTTGAGAGGACAGAAGTGGTGGGGGTGGGGGGTGCATTGGGCAGGGGGCACCTCCCCCCTAGCCCTGCCCCCCCAGCACTATGGGCACTGGCTGTGGTGCCCTCCCAGGGCTAGCCCCTCATCAGTGGTTCTCACTCTTCCCTTGCCCCGCTGTGACTCCCAGCCCCACATTGCTGCCCCTCCCACCCTACACCAAGCTGGTTGCATGGCCTGGCAGCTGGGTGAGCATGGCCCAGGGGAGCTAAGGCCATGGCCCAAGGGCCCCAGTGATGCCTGGGACCCCCCCACCCAAGGAAGCAAGCTGGTGGTTCTGCCGTTCCTGTCACCAGCCTGGGATGCAGCGAACAGGGCTGAGCATCCTCCCGCCAGCCCCACCCCACAGACAGGGCCCAATTCCTGCAGCCCCTGCTTTTCTCCCTCTGTGCCCAGCAGAGGAGCCAACCAGCTTGTGGCCTAGCAGCCAGAGCCTTGGCCAGGCACTCAGGAGACCGGGGCTCTATTCCCAGCTCTGTCCGGACACCATAGGGCAAGTCCCTTCCCCTGCCCCATGCCTCAGTCTCCCCAGTGGTGAAATGGGGACAGTGCTACTGACCTGCTTTGAGGTGGATGGAGAAAAAGAGCTGGGTGTTCACACTTGTTCTGGAGTTCTGCCCACAGAAGTGGCCCATGTCCAATTCACTACAGCCCAATGGGCAGGGGCAACCTGATGCCAAAACATCACCCCCCACTCCTCTGGCGCTGGGGTTAGCTGGGCACCCCAGCACCCAAAGGTGTTTTCAGCCTGCCCAACGTCCGCAAGAAGGTTGAGCAGCCGCCTGGCTCCGGGGCCGTTTTCTACTCGGAGTGGGGAGGGCAGCCTGGCAAGGCACCTTCCCCCTTGGAGGCAGGGATGCCGGCAAGAAAACGCCGCCACCAACAGGAAGGATAAAATAAGATTTTTATTTATAGTCTCATAGTAAAGGGGAAGCCTTAACTTGCAAGACACTTCTTGGGCAGTATGTACAACATACTTCAGCTCCGCTGGAGGGAGCCAGGCCCTGGCCAGGGAGCCTGCTACACGGTGTGCACTAGAGATCAGAGAACGCCACGAACTGGAGACGGGGGGAGCAGGGAGAAGACAGGACGGAGAGAGAGGGACAGACACACATACACACGCGCTGGCCGTCGCCAGGCCTAGCCCCGGTGCCCCCTTCGCGTCCCGCTGGGACGGAGCCCAGCTGCCCGGGGGCGAGGCCAGCACCACGCAGCCGATATTAGTACCAGCTCTAATGCTTGGGGTGTATTTACATCCGAAAGGCGGGCGGCTGAGGGACGCCCGCGCGCAAGGAAATTTGATCATTACTTTACAAATCTGTTGCCCTGGGGGCAGCGGCAGAGTCGGGCCGGATTGAACCAAGAGCAGGAAATAAATAGCAATTCATCACCATTCACCCTCGATAAAAACCTCCCCCCCTCCCCCACGCATCACAGTGGGAGGCCGGACGCCTGGCTTCTGCCCGGCAGCGCAGGGGCCTTCCCGAACGACGAGGAGAGGCTGGCTCTGGGCGCGCCAGTCGGGCACCGCTGCTCTCTGCCCCTCCCCCCAGCGGCTCAGGTTCACGGGGCGCGTTAGTATAAATAGAAACACTCGTAGAAAATCGACTGGGCGACTCGGGGGGCGTCTCCTCAGAGCCGAGCGCTGCCCAGAGTCTATCCAAAGGCTGTGCGTCCGGCTGGCCCCCAGAGGAAACGCTGCCAGGCCGGGACCGGCGGGGCGGGGCGGGGCGGGGCAGAAAGCTGCAGTCCGAGAGCCTCTACTAGAGAAGGGAGAGTCCTTACAGAGCGGGCGGGCAGGGGGCTAACGGCGCCGGGGCGGCCGGGGCCAGTCCGTCGCTGCCAGGCGTCTAGCTGGCCTCCATGCGCAGTTTCTTTCGGCTCTGAGGCTCGTCCGGCTCCGACTCCGAGCTGGAGTCGGAGCCGCCGTCGAAGGCGGAGATGGCGCTGCCCTTGGGGTTTGTGTAGAGGCTGCTGTCCGACGAGGAGTAGTTGGCCTGCAGCTGGGCACTCGACCGCGCCTTCTCCAGCGCCCGGACTGCGGGGAGAGGGGACAGTGTCCAGACCCGAGGCTCTGACCGCTGCAATCGCTGCCTGCCAAGGCTGGGCCAGCCCAGCCCCCATCACAGGCCAGGGTGGCCTGAGCAGCCTCAGGAAGCTGGAGGGAAGTCACCCACAGCTGAAGCCACAACACAGGGTCATGGCCAGCAGGGCGCCCTGACCCCCTGCCACGCACGGTGACGGGCCTGAGGACAGAGAACTCCAGAGCCCACTCAGCTCCAGCGGGGAGCCAGGCACCAAGACCTGCCACCCAGTGCCGGCAGAGAGCCAGGTGGCCCAGGGCTAAGATGTGGGGCAGGTCCCCTCACCAGGTGACCCAGGGCTAAGATGTGGGGCAGCTCCCCTCACCCCACACCCACAATGCTGGCAGGGGCCGAGACATGGTGCAGCTCCCCCTACCCCACACCCAGTGCCAGCAGGGAGCTGGGCAGCCTTGGCGCGATCCCCATTTATTCAGCTCTTTTCACTCTGCAATGAAGCCCCCCAACA